TATATATATATATATATATGCTGGGGTATTTGGCTCTCGTCCGGGAAAAAGCACGACAGATGCAGGGCGCCTCTTGGATTTACAATGGCTTGAGAAAGAGTCTTTCGAATCATTTATGTTCTGTTGCTTATTGGAAGTGAGCTGGACTTCTGGAGGGTGAGCAGTTCAGTGCTAATAAAAGCTAGCCCTTTTGAGCGCTCCTGTGTGCCAGGGGCTGTGCTAAAGATAGGGTTTTTCATTTTAATATTCACAGCACCCCTGAATGTTTTCGAAACTGTAATCGTATTTTCCTGCGGAGCAGCTGTAGGACTTCCCATAGATCATCAGAGGGATCTATGATCAAAAAAAAGATGAGATTTTCTGTAACTATTCATATAAAATAATGACCAGGCCTCCTGGGATCTGACCTCAACATCTTTGTGATTGATTTTCCAGAACAGTCTAAATTCCAGACACATACCTTCTTCTATTAACCCATATACCAGATCAATGTGCCCCACATTTGAGTTGAAGATGGGCATAGTACCTCTAGTCCCGTTTGTTGTTGTTTGGTGGGGTTTTTGTTTTGTTTTGTTTTGTTTTTTTCGTTGTATTTCTGTGGGTCCCCTTCACTTCTCCACAGTCTTCAAAGATCATGTATTTTTGCATTTATCTGTTTTTCAAAAAATTTGGATCCAAACAAGGGCCTTGTGCATAAACTCTAGGACTGAGCTACATGGCCCACCCATGTTGTGTATTTTAGCTAATCTGTTTCCTTAAAGACCATAAAGGAGGTTTACGATAAAGGTAGAAAACTAGAAATTGTGTAGTAGGTCCATACTGGGCAAGGTAGCTCATCCCTGCAGTCCTACACTTGGAAGGCCCAGACAGGAGGATCGCTGAGAGTTTGGGGTCAGCCTGGACGATAATGAGTTCAAGGCCAGCTTGAAGTACATAGTGAGACCCTGTTTCCAACTAAAGTGATGAGGTTGCATGACCAGTCACTGCTACATCCAAGAAAAACTTCTTAGTAGGATTGTTTCAACTTCTGACAAACAGTGGACAATTCTGCCAAAGAATCAGGAGTGTTTAATATCAAGAGACTGAGTCTCCCTGAGAAGGAGGAGCGGTTCTGATTGTACCCTCTGTGAACAGGCCCTTGAAGTTGGCTTTAGAAGATGAACCCTGGTTTTCATTTTCTGTAGATGGACCCCACGTAGCACTAAGCCTCTGAAATTTCCAGATGCAGGTAGCTGGCCGGGAGAGAGCTGTGGGAGGTGACTGCCCTGTGTAGTGGTCTGTTTCCATAGCAGTACTGAGAAGACAACTGTGACCTCTACAACAATTGTTCTTTTTGCTCTTTGCCATCAATTTCTCTTTTCTTCCCTAAAGTGGCTACCAGTAACTTCTTTTCTAAATATGTTGTGTTTTTGTGTTTTTGCTGATGTGTTGAAGGTGATTGCAGTTAATACCAAGTGTGTACATCTCATTAGTTTCCTGTTCATCCAAAATGCATTTCTCATCATTTATGCTATGATTGTCAGAATCTGTCTGAAATACAGAAGATGAATTTAAACTTTAGTGTGCTTGCATTTCCACTAGCAGTTAGTAATCAGGTGCAGAAGACAGTTTCTTGCAGATGTGTACTAATACTTGGCTAGATTTTGTTTTGACTTGTTTGCATAGAATTTATTATATTTATCATTCACTTTATACTGACCCTCAACACCCTCTTAATCTTTTTGAAACCTAAGTGGAAATTTTCTAGAATGTTTAATAAAAGTGAAATAATGGCTATGGGTTGCATAAATAATAGAAATACTGTCTGTTCTGTTGGTCTTAGGACAAAAAAATCAATTATATTTGGACATGGGTGGCCATGACATTTACACAGAGCCTCTCACTGTCCAATCATGAGTCCAACTTAAATACATAACACATAAGTGCAAAACAAAGTTCCTCTGAGTGGAGCTTTATTTAGTTTCTTTTGTTCCAACTGACAAAGCTCTCTCTCCACAGGCATTGCAAACTCTAACCCATCCAGTTCTCTTCTTACTTGAGTTTTCATTCTCTGCCCCTCTTTCTCTAGAGCTCTTAGTTGGTACAAAGCATGGCTTGTGTAGACCAGAGATGGTGAAGATACGAATACAACCTTCCGAGTCCAGTATCTAATGAGAGAGATAGGAAAGGCCTGGTCATAGCACACCTTTCTGAGATCAGGCGCGCTCAGGGTGGTATGGCCATAGACGCTATGCACACATTTCTGCAACCCAGTTGTTTTGTGTTGCAGGTGAAGCCAGGCTGCTCATCATTCCAGATATCTTCAGCTGCTGTGTCCAGAACAAGCATTCGCAATATGAAGAGAATGGTGAGCCAAATCTTTTCAATCACGGTAGAGATGATGTGTACTTCCTCCAGAATATCTCCAGACTCCAGCCCCCCATGTTTACTTCTTCAGCCGTCTTAGCTCTGAACCCCATCGAATAGGGGGGCAGTTAAATTCTTCCATTCCAAAGGAAGTGCTAATTCTTAAAGCAAACCTGTGGCCAAAATACAAACAAAGCATCACTCTTTTCCTTGTGCTGGTTGCTTTGCTTTTCCCCAAAACAGCAGTGATAATCTGTTACAAAGAATATATTTTAGATGTCAAGAGTTTAAAATCACTTATGTTTAGGGCTGGGGATTTAGCTCAGTGGTGCTGTGCCTGCCTTGCAAGGACAGGATCCCGAGTTTGATCCCCAATACCAAAAAAAAAAAAAAAAGTCACTTATGTTTAGGCAACATAAGGTACCTAGAAGAGAACTGTATATAGTCTCTATTAAGAATAGAATTTTTGAGGGCTGGGATTTAGCTCAGTGGTTCTGCCACCTTCCTCGCAAGCACAAGGACCCAAGTTCGATCCCTGGTACCAAAACAAAAAGAAAGAAATTAAGCTGGGCATGGTGGTGCACACCTGTAATCCCAGCACTCGGGAAGCTGAGGCAGGAGGATCGCTGTGAGTTCGAGACCAGCCTGAGCTACATAGTACCAGGTCAGTCTCAACTAT